TAAAACTATTCAGTGAAAATCTCACGATAAAGTGTTTTTTGAATACGTTAATAAGACCACTTTACTGATAGAAGACACAGTATATATTTCGTGAGAGATCTTTCTGTAAGGAGCATTTTGATTTGTACACTTTTTTGAGAGAAAGCCTAATGTGATGGAGACTGACATAGCAGTTACTAATATATCCACCATTTCTTCATTGAATGCATTTTACAGTTCAACCATCATACAGTTTGGAAAAAATCTGAGATTGTTTTTCAGTGAAGAACTCATCTATGAAATATGACTTTCTGCCAGTTCATATCCTCTGTGCAACCTCGAAGGCATTCGAAGTATTCATCAATCTACAGATGTCAAATTATCTTGATCATTTTCAAATACTTGGTACCTTCTACTCAGCCGGGCCAAGTACATCACTGATTGCCATACATGATTTCATGCCTCAGTAGACAGTAATAGTTTGAGTGCATTGGTTTGGAGAAATTATTCGATACAGTCATTAACTCCTGTAAATTTAATGAAGTAACTACAAAGCTCAATCCATGCAATTAACATTAATGTATTAAAAAAAACATAATTATTACTTTCAATCCTGAGTGTTACATCTTAGTGCAAAAACTTGGTGAGCGTAAGCCTGAACGTGAAATGTATTCGGTGGCCAAAAGAAAACGGACTAAGTTAATATTATATAAAAATGCAGGAACACGTACAGTTTTCATTAGGATTTGATTATCTCACACTTGCACCCGCAAGTTAGTGTGAGATTCACTCCAAAATATGAACTCAACTGTGGGTTAAGTGGAATATTGTTTATTCTCTGAATTTTCTTTACAGAAGGTTTCAAAATTTTGAATCTAACTTAACAGTTTTGTGAGAAGTTGCGATTCAGAATTTAAATTTGGTTGACTGTTCACTCACTACTCAGTTCATCTGGCAAATATCTACCGGTCATACGATATACAGGGTCGGATTTGGAAGTCTGGAAGCCCTGAGGCAACGAAGAAGTGGAGGCACCTATAATTATTCTTTACGCGCGCTTGACTTGGGGGGTAAGATGGTGAATGCGTGACGAGAGCGTTACGAAAAGTGTGATCGGGCGAGGCGAACGGAATCTGAGAGGGAGGTATAAATTAGTGAGGAGAGAAAGAGGGATAGAAAGTTACGTTTCATATATTACTGTAGGGGTAAAAGAGAGAGTGAGAAAGGTGTATGTACACATTTACGGTCTGGTAGGCTCTGAAAAATAAGGAGAAAACTATATGTTGCCTCTAATTTTAGCGGGAGATTTCAATGTTAATTCTGCTTCCGAAGACATGGAACAACAATCGATGCAGTTTTCTTTAGATATAGTTTCAATTTCCATTCGAAAACATATGTATTTTATTTCTCATACCTTGCCTAAGCCTATTGCTCGGTCTCACAATTAACCACGGAAATTATTGATGTATCCCATGTTGAAAATAATTAATATAAATAAAAAAATATTAAAAAAAAACGTTTGATTTATCAATGAAAACCCGTGATAAATTCAAATATTTGTAGAAAATTAATATATGTGTGTTCGGATAGGTTTCCGCGGTCAGTAGTATGTTGTCGTTGAGTTCGAGTTGAACCGCGTCTGGAGTTTTGTGTTCGACGTTTCGGCTCCGATTTTGAAGCCATTTTCAAGAAATATTAATGTGACTTGACACCGAGACTTCAATCTGCCCACTCTCTGAGGTCTCAATCTGCTTACTCCTTAGATTGAACTGAGGTATCAAAGGGTGTTCGTTGGTATTTATATTGGAGGGAGATAGATAAGTGGAAATGTGGGGGTGGGGTCTCGAGTGATTACCATCACTGGACGTCTTGGTGAGTGAATATCGGGAAATTAGGTTTCCAGGTATTTGGAAGTCTCTGACCGTCATCACGTTTGTTTGATGATGTTTGGACCCCTGTCCCTGCTGACTTTCGGACAGCAAGTTGATGTTCATATGCTCTACTTGTCACACGTAAGTTAGTCTGGTCTACATATGTTACAAATTCCGTCTGAAATTCTCTCATCCACAGATCTATCAACCTCACCGACCACAACAAACCACAAGAGCTGGCTCAACTCAAATCAGCTCTTCTTCAAAATGGATTCACAGACCATCAAATTGACAGATTCATCCGTAGTCAGCAAACCTCTTCCTCCAGTCCCAGTCCCCACAAAGCTTTTCTCCCCTACATTAAAGGTGTTACTGAAAAAATTGGCTGAATTCTTAAAAAACAGGACATAAAAACGATATTCACTGCCAACAATCAAATTTCCACATTCCTCTGTTTTCCCAAGGACAAAATTGTCAATGAAATGCCTTGCTCCGATTGCCACAGAACATACAGTTATTGGTATACAGTTATTTCAATTTATAACCATATAAACCACTTGATCAGAGTTTGTACGGGTAGCAGAAAATATATGTCTTTATTCTTTTTCTGTTATAGTGTCTTATCAGTTTCTAACTGAGGATAAAATTCACTCGAAAAAAGTATGCACACAACAATTACTTTCTATTTTGATATAGAACAAACATTTCATCATGCAAGAATGAACTTTTTGAAAAGACTCCAGTATTTCCAGGAAGTCACTGGTAAACATTCAAAACATTTATGGCTGAACCGATTTTCAAAAGTAAATCAATGTTAGCTAGATAATTAAATTGTCGAAAAACAGAGGTATCAAAGACTTTCCTTTCCATTTGAAAAATGGTTGATAGCGTCATTTCGGCGTTATGCCACACTATTGAATTTTCACTTAAAAGTACTGAAAATGATTCCTTTTCACATAACTTCCATCCAATTCTGATATCTTTCTAACATTTGAAAGTTGTCCGCACTTATCTGTTGCTCTAATAACGTTATCCAAAACGTGTAATGGGGTCGATAAGTCTTTTTTTAATTCAAATTCAAAATAAAGCAGAATACATCTTTCTTTCAATGTCTTTTAGAAATCGACACACTACAGCCGTGTCCAAAACTTTCGAAATCGAGGGAAAATATTTATGTGAATAAAACCTTAACAATAATTCTGGCTATATTTCTCCAAATTCATTTCCTGAGAGGCAAAACATTATTATATGAGTAGGTTAACATATTTTACAATGTGTAGTCAACATAATTTCATCACTAGGGATACTATTTATATTTCGGGAATAGCAAATAATGACAAACATTTTTTAATGAAAATGGCTTTATTGTTTTTCAAAATATTCCTCTCGATGAACAATACACTTTTGCATTCGTTCAAACAATTGTCACTCCTCTTGAGACTCCTCCAAAACATGCTTTTTGAACGCTTCAACTATTCTTTGGTGCTTGTAAATGGTTGACGACGCAGTTTACCTTCGAAATTCAGGGACAAAAAGAAGTCACCGGGTGCTAAATCAGGACTATACGGGTGATGAGTCATCAATTCGATATTTTGACTGCTCAAAAATTCACCTATTTGAGGAGATGTGTGAGAGCTCGCAATGTCATGATGGAGAGTGATTCGTGTTCGGCGGTTAGTTTTACGAATTTCTCCGAAGACTTTAGGCAGAAAAATGGTCGTGACTTTAGGCAGAAAAATGAATGTCTACGTTGCTCAAGCGGAACAGTGGCCACATGACCCATTCAGCCGAAGAAACAGTTATCAAGCAATTATTTTTGTGAAATTTTTGTGAACTATCTGGCGATTCTATATTTTTATGAAATTTACAAAAATCAGCCTCTGAAATAAGTTATTGCTTACGATTCACCCATTGTTTGTCTATACATATACGTGTGTGTTTGCATATGTACCTACTGGTCATCCTCAATGGCGAACATCAGTTTGTGTCTAAAGGTTCCTTCCATGCATGATCAACACATCTTTTCTTTGTAGATAGTTCATTTTGACATGAATAACTTTTTCCTTTCTTTGAAAGATTTCCATATTTTTTGTATGAAGATGTGGAAGTAGAAAGCCAAAACTTTTCTTCACAAAAATTGATCTTTTCAATTTTCACAAGATTCCTATCTGTGATCTAATCAAATAAGCGAATAAATGTAAATACGAACTGTCATCGATGACATGAGTAGATTCAACTCATTCGTGACATAAAGTCATAATTTCATGAATGAGTGCTTCATCTTGTAATGTTATTCAGATGGCTGCTGAAGAGGCAATAAGGCAAGTGTCTTCTTCCGAAACATCGATGTCCGCCATTGAGAATGACAGTGTCCCATGTACGTGAAATTTCACCTGTTTTGAATACTATTCTGTAGCAATCTTGTGAATAATATCTGATTCAATTCCACAACTAATGTTTGAAGTAGAAACTGAATAGGAAACAGTGTTTTTCGTATGACTCAATGTTCATGAAATAGTTGTTTCGAAAGTATTTTTTATTTCGTGTGATTCAATGTTAATATGAAAGTAATAGTTTTGAGAGGGCATTTTCTTTCAGTTTGTGTGTGAAATGTTCTTCTTTGCATGATCTACACATTTTTGTAAAGAGTTCATTTTGAAATTAATTACTTTTTTTTTCAGAAGCTCAATTTCCTAACAAATTCCTCGTTAAAAAACCATAACGTGCAGGAATCTGAGTGACACCTTACTTACGTAAACTTCATTGATTTACCTCACGAATAGAACTAAAGACTAAGATCAGAAATAAAAGTATCGATAAATTGTCTACCGGAGAAACCATATAGGAACTAAAAATCGACAATACTCGTAAACAGTGTGATAGTCCTTGGCAAAATCTACGAAAACAGCTTCCATTTCTCCCGGGCCCATAAAGGAACAGCGCGGTCACTTCCACGGTCCTCAAATGACCCAACAGAAAACTCAATCGGATAATGCATATTGACTTCATGCATGTTCGGAATGCAAAAGAACATATAGAAAAGAGAAAACCCCGACCAGTGCAGTTCATAGGGCGCAGTAAAATGCGCACATCACGAGTGAATCCTAGCGTCGAGACGTCGAGCGTCAGTGTCAGATATCAGTAGACAGCGTGCAGCCGGTCGAAATGCTTCACGGTGCGATACTCATCAAATCCACACGATAGTTGTTGCGCGATCGCGTTATGTGAGAGGAACAATGCTTTATTTGGCGTTGATTCTGATGCTCATGATCGGCGTAAGCAAAGGAATGTGTCCGAACATGTGTGAGTGTAGGTACTACCCTAGAGACGACTTGCCGAAAACTTCATTCTACTTCACTTCGGTTAGTTGCAATGTGTATCAACCAAACACTATTAGAGAACTCGATAATACTACTCGGCAGTTCCGAATAAGTAACGTGAATAAAACACAGTTGTTGAGTGTCATTAAGTGCTTGAAGGACCACAAATCGAGTTTACCAATTCTCACTGATCTAACAATAAGCAAAAGTGAACTTAATTACGCCAATGAGACTATCCAAGGATTAGAGTGGATCCAGTCTCTGACATTAACTGACAATAAACTCACGGTGCTCCCGCATTTATTTCTGAACTTGCCGACCCTGAAGGATATTGATCTTTCTCAAAACACGTTCGAGAACATTGACGACAGCTCTTTTTGGATCTTTCAATCTTTGGAATCCCTGAACCTCAGCGTTAATGCAATAGCTAACATAAATAACAAAGGATTTCTGGGCCTTGAAAATCTGAAGTGCCTAGATCTATCTAGAAATGAATTGACCTCAATCAGCAAGCTCGTCCTAGCTCCACTACAGTCTCTTCAGTACCTAAACCTTAGCAGCAATCAGTTGGAGGTCTTAGACGAGACCTGTTTCTCCCAACTAACCGCTCTTCAGCAGCTCGATATTTCATGGAATCAACTCTCTCGCATTGCCCCCGGGTCTCTCGAACTTCCTAGCTTAACACGTCTACTACTAGCCGGCAATGTCAAACTGGGATCATCACGGGACTCTGCAGTTCTCGTGGGCACCGGTCGTAAACTCCAAATAGTCGACGCTTCACGAACAGGACTCAAGCAGGTTCCGGCCGCTCTAACACATTCGATACGATCTCTTAGATTAGCGGGCAACAACATACGGTCGGTAAGTTGCGGTGATTTGGACTCGTACCCTCTGCTGCAACTTCTCGATTTGGCATCCAATGATCTTATAACACTAGAAGAAGACGCACTCGGCCGGCTGGATTCTCTTGCCGTCCTCTATCTCTCAGACAATAACATACAGGAAATCCCCAGGAGTCTTCCGGAGAAACTGAAAGCCCTCCACGTCGAGCATAATAACGTGGAAAAAGTGTCGGAGAAGGATCTTCACGGATTGGTGGTACTCGAGGTGCTGCTGCTCAACGACAATAAGATCAGCGTAATAGAACAAGGCGCTTTCAGTCATCTACAATCTCTGGCAACGCTGGATTTGTCGAGAAACCCTGTCATAGTTCTTCAACCAGGAAGTCTGACGGGACCGTTTGCACTACAGGTATTAAGGCTCTCGTCAATGAGAATAATATCCCCAGCAGAGGAAAACTCTTTTCCATTATCCACTCCAGATGATTTAATCACACTGGATTTATCAGATAGTCCTGGACTAGCACGCCAACTTTTGGCGGATACGGCGACTTTAGTAGCCTCAAAACAGTTGCAGGAGTTGGATTTGTCAGGAACGAACTTGGAGTATATAAGATCGGATCTACTCCATTTCCTGCCACAGTTACGATATCTTCATATTAGACGCAATCGCTTGAATTGCACGCAACTACACTGGCTAGGAGCGTGGCTGAGGCGACAAGATACGTTGGAATACCGCGACGTTGTATGCTCTAGTCCCCCAGATTTATGGGGAGTGCCACTAGTCGACATACAGGAAACGGAAGGTTCAACTGATGATTCAATAATGGTAACTGAGCTGAACTTTATACATAAACAACTATCGAGTATGTTGAAAGTGCAAAAACCCTTCGTCTTTGAAAAAGGAAATAAAAATATAACCAAAAAAGTAGTTGTTGAAGACTTGCATTTCGAAAACGAATTATTCAAAAACAAATCAATTCTAACTTCTACTTCAATAAGTTTCGAAGCAAAGCAAGCATTAACTGCTCTTTTCCAGGGGTCCGAATCGCTCGGAGACGATGAGAATGGCTTTAACGAGACAGGTAAAGTGGCAATTACCGAAACTTTGAATCCTTTTAAACAAACCACCGTGATGACGGCTCAAAATGCTAATGAGACGCCTGAATCCGCAAGTAATAGACCGTCTCCGAGCGATAGCAGCTTCATATCTAAGTTTTCTCGGGATTTACTCATCGCTCGCGACGAGAAGAGTTTTAATAAATCTTCAGAAGAGTCGGTGGAATCGGGATCGATGGTAACTTCGCCGCAGTGGGACGGGAAGATGTCGATGTACACCAACAATAAAAAGAACGGTAACTTTGTGCATCCCGGAATGCTAATTCTCGCTGTGGGGGTGGTAGCTGCCGGGGCGGTTTTTCTTGTGTTGGCGGTTCGATTCGTAAGGAATAAAAAAGCATACAGGGAGGAAGACATCGAGGTGGCCATCAGCCTGCCCACCGTTACCGATCTGTGGTGACATCTGCAGGGTGTCGATGACGAGCGCAGAGTGCTCTATGAAACTTCCGTCACTTAGACGTTCGCTTGTGATAAACGTGGATTCTATTTTGTATGTCTCAACTATTTTGTACTTGAATTGTAAAATATTGTAGAAATGGATGAAATGCTATATATATTTAAAGGCTGGAGCATAAATATAGGATGTCTTTCAGAAAATGTTACAGTTTCTTGTTTTATTCTATCTGAATACTTGGCAATTTTAATTTTGGACTCAGAAACATATTGATGATTTTTAAAAAAAAATTCTTACACAACCAGCCAGTAAATAATTTTGAAGTGTCTTTTTCTCATGTTCAACGACGGAATTCAACAATATTTCAAGGTTGAAGTCGGTATTCACTGATAATAATTTTGTTAAATTCCGACTGCTATTTCAGAATTTCTGTTGAATTCTGACTTTAAACACATTTTTTTTAATTCCCACTTTGAACTTGAAATTTTGTATTTCTATTCAAAACAACATTTTATTGTGAGAATTTTTAATCAGTAGTATGAATACTCCTGAAAGAATTATTGGAAAGTAAAATACATGATGTGGTTCTGTAGAAAGTTCAGTGAAAATCTCACAATGTAGTGTCACTTGAATGAGTAATGAATTTTAGACACCACATATTCTGTTGATTGAGAAACATCATTTATGATCCTTCTGCAGCTTCGTCAATACCAATATTGATCCATTGGAAATATTTCAATGTTTATAGTATTACAATTGAAGAAAAAAAACAGAAAAAATTCAAAAACTGAAGCATGTATAGGTTTCCATAAACCATTTCCGAATGAAATTTGAACTTATATCTTGGTGATTATTCATACATATAATTACCATTCAATCTGATTGTATCATTAAAGATCTTTTTAAAAAAAAATTACATGCACCTGAATTTTGCAATAAATGAAAAAATTATTCCAAACATCAATCGACACGGTCACATCAATGAAAATTTGGATAAACCTGTTGTTAATAACATTTTGATAACTTTTCTATTATTGCCTTGCGTCATTTAGATATGGATATAACAATGAAAAGTATTTTATGCAGGTCCTTTGATTGTAGTAGCCTTTTTCATTTGAAAAATGGTTACTTGAATATATATGAAAACAAACTGAATATAATAGTGAAATAAACAATAACACATTCAAACACCTAAATACATATCAAGTTTAAACAACCCTATCAACAGAAGACAGTATTTCTATTCCATCAAAAGTTATTATAAATTAATGAAAACAAATATGAATTATGGAAATATATTCAAAACTTGAAAAATTAAATATATTCTCAAATCTTGAGATCTCAATTCTGTTTCTCACCTGTTAAGTTCTGGTAAATTCCGGAAAACATAAACTTTTCCGGCTAATAACAGTTTGGGTGCTTGTATTTTTTTTGGAAATGTCGACGATATTTTATTATCCTAACTTTGGTGAGTTTATTTCATGATTGCATTCATTCATTCGTGGTTTGCTTTCATTTTCATTATTATAGAAATTAATTTTCCGAAAGCTTGAATAACAAAAAATTGTTTTCCTTATTTCGCGTTGGAGAATACCTTCGACTACAATACACAAAAAAACGAAGGACATATATAGGGTAGATAATATAAAGTGGATAATCTTAGCGACTGGAGAAATGTGCATAAGAAATGGATTAACGGGGTCTCTCAGTCAAAAAATCAAAAATCAAAACTCTGCTCTACTTTGCCAAGCGTTCGCTTCCATTGGGAAGTTTCTTCAGGGCAGTAAAAATGAGTGAAAACACAATGAATTCAACATATAAATTGATGAAGAAAGTTAACATATATAGAATGTTTTTGGTTTGACATTTGTCAAAGCATAGCAGAGTTTTGATTTTTGACTGAGAGACCACGTTAATCCATTCTACTGTATATATACTGTATTTGAGAAATACATTTTGATTTTATAGGTTTCATTGTTGATTTCATTCAATATTAATGTTTTCATTAATTTTGGTAGACTCTTTTGTTACATTCAAATTTCTATATCTTAATATATAGGAATCTCTCTCAAAACCTCAAGTGGGTTCGTTAAAATGAAATAAAATTTACCAGCAAGCAACACGATCTGCAGTTGTACCTGTGGATAAAGTTTTGAAGCGACACAATAGAAATGCTAATAAAGAACAATTCAATAAACGGTGTAAAAGACTTGAACAATTATAAACTAAGCATGAATTTCGGAACGCACCATAATATTAATATTTCAAATATCAGTTGTTACACAAATTGTCTTTTTTAATCTGTTGAGTTTGCAGCAGAAAATTTTCTTGATCTCACTTTTTGGCATGGCTTTTTGCGGTAGGTCATATTGGTTTTAGTTCAATTATAATTGATAACTTGTATTGTGATTAACAAATTTTTAGATTTTATTTAGATTTTTAGAAGTTCAAATTTTGAAATTTCATATCTCTAATTCTAGTTCACTCACAAACTTAAATTTGGTATAACCTTACTTATGTCTGAATGAATATCTACCTTAATTTTCTCTAGGTATCATTTAATGTTCGTAACTAAGGAAGCTTTTGACAACTCACTTTTTCAAATATTTCAACATTTCTAATTAATCCTAAAGATTGTGTTCTGTCTCTTTTAATTTTCCACAACAGATACAATATTATTTCTGATTATAATCGCTGATAATAATAATAATAATAATTTATTACACAAATGAAACCGTTACAACATAGAAATATCATAAGATATCCTAAATAATGTAGAACAAAGTGGTGAAATCGGTAGGAAATCAAATTCTTGTATAGGTTGAAAAAATGCAAGGTAATAAGTATAAATAGTAGATTTGGTACATAAGCATTATTCCAAATCTCTAGAAATGATGCATAAAAATAAATTTAAAAAATACATGAGATAAAAATGAAAAATATAACTAGTGTTTCAGAGAGTAATTTTCACCTTTTAATACATGCATGGACAAAGCAATATATCTCAGAAAATATATATCATGGAATGGGTTTATAATCAGAAGGGACTTTACTGTTGACCGAATTCAACATGAATAAAGGGATTTTCGATTTGTAGATGTATATCAACCCTCGAGTTTGATTTGATAGAACCTTTCAACTCATTGTTCGATATTATTAATTTTTGAGATATGTTGAGGAAGGCGCCCGTAGAATTTCGGGCCCAAAAATTTAACATTTTTGTGCCCAATAGACTTTAATGCTGGAGGAGGCAAGTAAGTATTGTGTTTCTGTTTTGTGTTATAGTGGTGTTGATTAGTTATCAGAGTGGATTTAATTTTATGCTATTCAACAGTCAAATTGAAAAATAAATAGCTGTCTCGGGTCTAAGATTTCATTTTCAGAGTAAAGAAGGTCTGAAGAGTATCGGATTGTTTTAGAGAATAAAATTTTGACAATTTTTTCTATACTATCACTGAATTATTATTATTGGTTTTTCCGACTGCCCACAAGCTGCCATTCCATAAGCTATATGCGATTTCACTAATGCGTGATACACTGCTTTCAGTTGGATTTTGTTCAGAATATATCTAACGTTTTTCAGTTTGCGAATTAAAAAATGTAGTTTTTTGATCACATACGCGACATGCTTATTCCACTTGAGGTGACAGTCAATAATCACACCTAGATATTTTGATTCAAATGTAGATTCTATTGAAAAATCATGAGAAATGTTTAAAGTAGTAAAGGACGACAAAGTGGATTTATTATTTGATAGTGGAAGAAACAATGTCTTCCGGGGGTTTATGGTCAGTAATCGACTCTGAAACCATGATTTGATTTCATACAGATCTCTTTCTACTAGTGCTCTCAAAGTGTTTCATTCTTCTCAGGTCGCACAAGTTTCGACTTCTGAGGGTTGTCATTCGTAGGGGTGCGACAGCTGTTTAACGGAAAAACAGGCTTTAAATAGATTTTTTTTCAAACGTGATTATTCCTCCTTTGGTATTGACTTCAAATAAATCATTTGAATGAATGTTCAACAGGATTGGTCCTAGTACGGTTCCTTGAGTTGCACGTATGCGTTAGATAAGTCAAGAAAGACGCAGAGAGCAGGCTGGCTTTTCTCCAGCGCTGAATATATTCTGGAGGTCAATTTTAGTATCGCGTCTTGGGCGGAAACACCTTCTCTGAAATCATGTTGTTTTTCTGAAATTATTTTAAATTATCAAGAAATGAAGTTATTTGCTTTTTTAGAGATTTTTAGAATATCTTTGAAAATTTTATTATTACTGAAATTGGCCTGTTCTCTGTCGCCACTTTTGTATTTGGGGAATACAATTGTGTCTTTGAATACTGCGGGAAAAATTTCTTGTTGAATGCATTTATTGATTACTGCAGCTATTGGTGTTGCAATTATGTCAGAAATGTGTTAAACAGTTTCAGGCGTTATCAGATCAACTCCTGGTGCCTTTATAGGTTTTAGTTGTGCTATTATTGTTTTAATTTTATTTTGGTTAACAGCTCGTAAAAAAAAGAGAATTCAATAGCAAGTTGCATTGTGGGGCAATATATTCAGGATCAGTAATAATTTCTTCTGCGAGCTTTTCTCCCACTGTGATGTAATTTTCATTCATAAGGTTTGCAATTTCTGTTACATTGTCTATATATCTTCCTTCTACATTCATTCTATTCATATCATTTCTAGGTCTCATTCTCCTAAAATTGACACTAATAAGAATAAAATGAGTATATTTACATGAAATTAATGAAAGGTACTTTTATTAGATAATAAGTGTATGTATAAAATTATATCGGCTACCAATAGCCGATCATAAAATATGATGTACAGGCAGATTAAAATAATTCTGGTTGAAATATATGTTAGATAATTGAATTTGAGAATAACTATACAAATGTGTGAATACATAGTAGATGATTATGCCAACAAACTGGTGGGGGTAATAATGGTAACAACAGAATTGGGGTAAAGATATTTATAAATAATTTTTCTGCTTCAAAACGAATTATCATCTAGTATGACAGTCTACTTACAGAAAATAAACCAAAGCAAGAAATCACTTTCTTGGGTTTCTGAGGAGCCTAGGATAGTTAATATTCTTCTTTGGAGTATCTGTGGCTGATGTGGTTGTTAGTTTCCAAGATTTCCGAAGATCTTTTTCTTTGGTTTGTGTTCTGCCTTCCAATTCTTGTTCTT